TTTTTTGTGATAATGTCATCATTTTAGTGTTTATACATAGTGTATTATTGTGTAGTAACACTTTTTTGTGATTATTCTGCAAATTGTTCTCTTTACGAGTAAGTGTATTAATTGAATACACTCTACTCCAATTAGGATTCTTAATCTACATGATTTTTTTAGGCACATCACCAAAAGCCTTTTGAGGGAAACATGGAAGAAAGACATAGTGATGAAAAAGGTTTATCATGAGCTCCTCTTTTCTTTCTTCCTTTACCTTACAATACAATAGTGTTATATATATGTTCTTTTTATTGCTCAAGAAGAGGTGATTACGGTGGACAAGTTGATGCACCACGCTTCTAAGCAGAGTTTTGAGATGGTTAGGAAACTCAATAACTTTCAAGTATGTGCTTAATAATCTGTCTTAGATTTTCATATCAAGGGTTTTTTTCAAGTGCAGTTCTGATTGCTTTTCTCCTGCACAGTCTGGCTAAAGAGCATTCTTTTAATAGTACGTATTTTTCTTGGACATCTTCTCTTAATGTCTTATACTTGTACTACATTTGACATTTATTTCTTTTAGCCCATTCGTATTTCGTTTTACTTCAGCTATATTATCAACTGTGCTGACAGACTTGTTATGGTATTGTAGTCTGCTCAACTAAGTTGTGCTGTAAATCCAGTGTATCGTGACAAAATGAGTTCATGAAAGAAGACACCTTTTCAGAAACACCAGGAAGAAGAAGAAGCTAAGACAAAGGTACAAGTGTGAACTTTTTGATGCCTCTACTTTATACAGCTGTTTATACTTCTTAATATTTAGCAACTGTTGCTGGTTTTCTTTTGAAGAGAGCTGAGGATGAAACAACTCGTTTGTATCAAGAGTTTGTGGAGTCATTTCAAGGTGATGATGTGCCAGGTTCAAAGGCATTTGTTAGAGGGGGTGTCAGCAATTCCTTTTGTTAGTTTTTCTTTTTCAGTAATCTTTAAATACCCAGTCAACACAGCATTCTTATAATTTATGAATATTGGATAAATAAATGATGTTTTTCTTACATGGACACCTTAATAAAAGTACGGACTTTTTCTATTCATTCATGGATGTATCGCATATCCAGCCTTATATTTTCAAAATTGTCAATTTTCTTATTTCTTTTTTCAGAAAATGAATTGCTATTCCAGATAATAAGTTGATAAAATGGATAGATTCATTGCATTTAAAAAGTAAGCATGTTTATATCGTACCTTTTTTATCTGCTTTCGTTTCTTCTGAATGGATAACTAATTTCCACTGTCACAGGAAGGTGTAGCTAGATAAGTGCTTGACAGGCTACTATATCTTTCGATAGTAACCCTTTGTTTTTAACACTTTTTTAGTCTTTGTGATTTGTTCCGTCGAGTTATGTTTTATTACTACTTTTGTCATTTTTCAGAAGAGGTACTTAGATTTTGAGTACAATGTGAGACTTGCACCGATGATTACAAAAGAGGTACATTGTCTGGTCGCACCCAAACAAGAGGGATTCATTGCAGCTGCTAAGGTTTTCTAGTGGCGTTGGCAGTATAAGAATGATGGCTTCATTCCGTGTAGAAGAAAATGTGATGTCTACGTATAAGAAGAATGTGAACGCCTTGTGAAGCATGGTGTAAAAGTTGGACTAGTCAGCGTTTTGTTTTTGTGTGTTATTTATTATTTTGGGGATGCCCTATAAATTATGTACTATGTACATTCACATTTTTGTGAGAATTTGAGATATAAATAAAAACCTTTGATTTATGGTTATTTATTAGTATTATATATATATATATTGTAATCAATATATCATGTGTGTTTTCATAGTACTATGATGCTGAAGTGTCATTAAGTTTTGTGATGTATTAACGTCACAATGTGTTTTTGATGCTTTAACGTCGCTATTTTAGACGATACATTAGTGTCATAATTTGCTGACACAAAACTGTCCCCGCACCAGTGACACTATATTTAGTGTCGCTAGCCGCCACTTTCCCCGACGCTTTTTAAGTGTCGCAGAAAGTTTCAGCGACACTAAATTAGTGTCACTATAAGCCCTTTTTCTACTAGTGTGATCAATGCTTTCAAAAACACAAAAGTTGAGTCATAGTGCCATCTTAAGGACTTATCAATTAATGACATATCATCCTCCATGTCATGGCACTAATTGACAAAAACATGATATTATAACTTTGTGATGGCATTAATTACTAAAAACATAGTATTTTATTGCCATCTTAAAATGGCATTATAAGAAGAAGAAAAATAAACTATTTTTAAAAAAATAGAAAACCCGAAATACTTTTTAAAGAAGATCCAAAATCTTGATGTAGGTAATTTTTGGAGTCTCACAATTTTCAATCCAAAAGTTACTTATCCGAAATAGCATAACTTTCATTTTGAATCTCAACATTAAACATTTGAAACAATAGAAAATAGCAAAAAATTCAAAATAAGAAAACAGATGCCGAAGCGAGGATATGGAGGAGGAGAAGAAGACGGAGGATGGAGGAGAAGAATATGGAGGAGGAGGATACTTAGAAGAAGACCGGTATATTGCCGAAGTTACGACACATGGCCGAAGTTACGGTGTAGAAGAGAGACAGATGATAAATCGCCGGTCCACAGAAGAGATCTGGACAGAGATGGCTGCTAGATATGGGGAGAGATGGGAATATCGTCTCCGCCTTTGAAATCCTCAAGAAAGAGAAGTTTAATTTTGTAAAGATGCATTTGATAAAGAAGGTATGTGAGAGATGATGAGGCATGGTCAAATCAGGAAGTAAAAGTTGCATTGGGAAAGAATATATTTGTGCAAGTGGGTGACAGCTATGATAGCTAATGGAGAGTGAGATATTTGACCGTGTGTGGGAGGGTAAATTTGGAAAAAGAAATGGATGGTCAATTAAAAGGTCCTATTTAGGGAATAAATCAATAAACACTCCCACTTTGGAACTTATTTATTGTTTTAGTCCTATTTAGGGTAACAACTTAATTACTTACTGTAAGACTAAGATGGAGATGATGGGAAGGAGCCGCAGTTCAAAGAAGACGGCGGTGGTATTCCTCCTCCTCCTCGATCCTGCTGGACCGCTGATGTGCTTGGCCTCGAAACCTCAACCCGCCGTAGGGGGCGCACTAAGGTGGACCTGAAACAGCTGTTGATAGGTGCCAGCAGCAACGCGAGAGCTGTTGGTGGAGCCAAACATACGGCAGCTGTACGTATCTATGTCCCAGAAGGCCGGTCAGCAGTGTGGGTTGCAACACGGCTGCTGCCCTAGCTAACTACTATTGCGCCTAAGCCTGAGCTGATCGAGCGAGCTTGCTCATACGTACATGCATGCATGTACGTACGGAGGGACGACGCGCATTGGCCACGTACTTAGCTAGCTATTTCCATCAATAAATAAATCAAGTATGAATAAATAAAACCGACCGATCGGATTGAAGAGGTCGGCTAGCTACTTTGTTTGTTTTATCATTTGTGAGGCCGGGGTTTGCTTGGTGTATGTCGTGAGTTGTTCATTACCGCGGATCAGTAGTTTGTTTTGTCATGTTTAACACTAATCAAATTCTCGTTCATGCCCCTACAAAATAGATGTAATTGTATACTATCTTTATTTGGAAAATTCTAAATTTAGAATGCAGTGGTACACAACAAAATGTACATGTGCCATAATTTTTTTAGTGGACTATTCAACAAAATGCACCGGTACACTTACCAATAACGCATGTACCATAGAAAGGCCCTCTTTATTTTTGTACAATAAGTACGTGATTATGTTAGATACCATTTAATAATTATCAAATTTTAATATAATAATGATTTACTAATATTTTTAATTAAACTTATCAACTATTTTTAATTGAAGCAACACATGACAATAGAGGAGGCTAGTTGTGTTATAATAAAATATTGGAAGACATAAGAGTGGAGTTTTAGAAGTTGAATAGCATTTCATTTATGTTGTTATCACATGTCATTTTTTTTACCAAGATGTTGTCACATGTAAATAATTAATCCAAAAAGTTGATCAAGGATTGGCTTTATTATATTATTATTACAACACCCCAATTACAAAACCCTCTTCCCAACGGCCAACACAAATACTCTTCCTAAACGCAGCCCCTTCACAAGTACGTAGCTATTACTACGTATAACGTATTACTCCCTCCGTCCCAATTTGTTTTGCAAAGTCAACATTTTTTGGTCAACCAATAATAAAAGTCAACACTCCATATGGATAATTAATTCAAATTTTAATAATTAAAATTTACATATTCATAAACTACATTAAAATATCTTCAAAGTTGTAAACTTAAAATTAGAACATAATTAAAAATTGACATCCAAATTAAGTGAACAAAACGAGACTGTTTGACTAAGAAAAGTCAAATTTGCATCTCTTTTTGGGACGGAGGTAGTATTATGGATGGACTCGGGCCGGGTGGCCTGACCCGGAACCGGCCCGGGACCGGTACTGTTCCGGCCCGGCCCGACCCGGTGGCCTGGTCAGTGACCGGTCCGGGTAGGTCCGGCCCGTGGGTTTTCCGGTCCGGGCTCGGGTCACCCAAAACAAGGCCCGACCCGGCCGGGCCCAGGCCCGGTTCGGGCCAAAAACTATTTTTTTTTTCAATTTTTTTTAAATTTTTGGGTTGGGCTGGGTATTTTGGGCCATTTGGGGTGGTTTGGGGGTTGGGGGTGGGAGGGGGGTTAATTACTTAATTAGGAAGAGGAAAACAAAAAAAAATTATAATGGGCCCAGACTGGACCCGGTGGTTACCCGGGCCGGTCCCGGGTCCACCATTTCTGACCCGCAGGCCCGACCCGGCCCGGACCCGAGTCCATCCATATATGGAATGCTGCTTATGGATGAACATGTCATTATCCTCAGATAAGTGGACTCATTGCAATACCCTCTTGATGTTATCCTCAACCTCATCTATTAACATACCCTCTTGATATATTATTGTCTATTTAAGTCTTATTTGATTTGTTTAAGACTTTAAGTTTAGAAATTGGAAAACAGTTCAAAAAACGTCAATAAACCCAGTAGTATGTTCCAAATCTTGTTGCTCCCAACAAACATATCACTAACAAGTACAGATCGGACGTACTTTGCCTTTGTGTATACTACGTATTATATTAGAAAAAACTCATCTACAATTTATTACATGGAAAGGAAAAGCAAATTAATGGGTTGGGACTTGGGACTCGGGAGCTTTGAAGAATTGAAGGCCACAAAATGCTCCAACACTTGATTACATTACACACCGTCAATCAAGACCATTCTTCTCCAGTCTGCCATGAATAAATAAATAAATATCTTCTTAAGCAGATCACATCTCTCTATCTATCTATGCCTGCTGCGAGACCCACACCCCCGATCCTGTCCATGCTCTCTCTCTCCCCGTGAACCTTTTGGAGGCGGGGAGGTAGGAGGTGATGGCTCGTATCTAGATGGCCTTCTCTTGAAATGGCGCTCATCATCACTACTCTCATAATCAGCCACGTTGTTCTTCATCGTCCTTGATGCCACCATATATTTAGGGTCTTCAATGTTCCCATTTGATGCAATGGAATAATTGTTATAATGACTAGTGACGGGTGCTTCATTGCATGATGGCATTTTCCGCTTCTTGGAAGCTGATGCTTCAGCGTCTTCTTCCTCGGGGAAGCTTATGCGGGAAAACACACTCTTTTTTGCCTTTTTATCATCATCTGCTGCTGATTTGGATGAGTTTGTTGTCATCGTCGTCAGATGTTCCAATGAGGTGGACGAAGGTGGCGGCCTCGCTGATCCGTCTGACAGCTTTATTGAACGATGGTGCTGCAAGTCACGGTCCCGTGTACAGGATTCACGATCACGGTTCTCACGGTCACGGTCATGATCACGATGGTTGTAATGATGGTGAACAGCATCACGTTGGCCCTTCTCACGATGGTGATTAGTGCGGTGGTCATCAGACTTTCTCTTGGACAAGGAAGAAGGACGAGGTAATTCAGGGTCACAAGAACGGTGATCTTCTGGAGAGAGATGCCTCTCAGATCGGCGGTGGTAGAGGTGGTCTGAACTTGATGGTGGTGGGAGAGGCTGCCTCTGTTCACAAGAGAATAGATTACATTACACATTAACGAACCCATAATTCCACTTCAAACCTATAACAGTAAGAATAACAATAACAACAATAATAACAACTACGGAGTATATTGTTGTTCTTGTAATAGCAGCCGCAGCAACAACAACAATAACAATAACAATAACAATAACAATAACAATAACAATAACAATAACAATAACAATAACAATAACAATAACAATAACAATAACAATAACAATAACAATAACAATAACAATAACAATAAGAATAAGAATAAGAATAAGAATAAGAATAAGAATAAGAATAAGCATAAGAATAAGCATAAGCATAAGCATAAGCATAAGCATAAGCATAAGCATAAGCATAAGCATAAGCATAAGCATAAGCATAAGCATAAGCATAAGCATAAGCATAAGCATAAGCATAAGCATAAGAATAAGAATAAGAATAAGAATAAGAATAAGAATAAGAATAAGAATAAGAATAAGAATAAGAATAAGAATAAGAAGAATAAGTATAACAACAGCACCAACAGTACCAACAGTACCAACAGTAATAACAATAATAAAAATAATAATAAAATAATAATAGTAATAATAATAATAACATCATGGGGTGATCAGTTTAATCGTTACATTTCGACATGGGAAGATCCAATTAGCTCTTGTTAAAAAATGATGAAGCTAAACAATTTGGCAACTTCCTCATATATCTTATACAGGAAAAAAACATCCGTAGTTTACAGAAATAAAAATATGATCCCTCTTTGCATTAGCTGCTTCAAGACATCATGATGTCTTTAGTTCATCGTTTCCATGATCACACATCCCTTATCTAAAGCATTACAAAATGCAAGAAATATGAAAATATCATTATGACAGGTATGCATACTGATTTTGATTTTAGAGAAGAAACGTCTCCACTGCTGCTAACTTCTCTACTGCACTCTGGATCTTTCGATTCCCTGAAGTACATGAAAATGAAAGTGAAAATCAAGCATCAATAGTTTCATTAACTGGGCATGGTCTCGTGGATCATTGTATAATTTACTGAACAAGAAAAAACATTAATATATTTAGAGCAATAAGTTCAAGGATACATTACTTTTGTACATTTTTTTGTGCACATCCGTATGTTGCATCCATTTATTAGATGTTAAAAGTTAGAAAACTATTCAACATCCAAAAAATGGAGGGACATGTGATTTTACCCCCAAAAATGTAGACAAATAGTGTTTCACAATAAAGGGAGAAAACTAACAAATTATGTATGCGAATATTTATTTCTTTTAGAAAAAATAATATATTGAATATTTAATAAAAATAATATTATTAAGATGGTACTATGGAATTTTTCATCTTAATACCGTTTTCTGCTTTAACTTTTATTCCAAATCATTGGGACAAAGTCTGTTCACTGAAAAAAAGAGAAAAAAACTGCTCACCGAACTTGGTTTAAAACACCAAAATCCATCTAGACCACTATTTTTTAGTCTAAAACGTTTTTTACCATAGGTCCTGTAGCTACACAAATTGTCTTTTACAAGATATGAGATTCAAGTTGAAGTCAAATATGTCAGCACCTAAAAGGGCATTCGACAATATGTGGAGATCAAATTCGTTAGGCGCTCAAAATGTAACTTATACTCGATGCAGGTGTTCAAGTAGCAATAAGATCTTACAATACAACGTAAGCTGGGGTCCAACAAAGAGCATGAACTATGCCAATGTAAGATTACAAATTCACAAACAAACACATAGAAACCAGAATCACAAAATAATGAAAATGCAGACGGCTTGGTTGGTCGGGAAACCATAAAGTAAACAAACAAGATGAATCATTGGTACCTCTCTCTCCGCATTTCAAACTCACGCTTCCTCTTCAAATCTGCTTTTCTAGCTTCAAATTCCTCCCGGCTCATGATAGGAGGGCCAGCATTAAATCCCATAATAGCCTGATCTCTGTAGTTTAACATTTTAGAAGAAATTACACAAGAACATCTTAATTTGCAGTGAAAGTTCCAAAATGATCCCATAGAGAAATCGAACTACAAAAGAGTGAAACCGTAATATATATAACCTCTGCGGAGGGACAAAAGGTGGTAACATGCAACTTTGTCCTCCAAATGGATTCGGTGGCACCATCGGACCAAACGGAACATCCAACGGGCCAAAACCATAATTCATATATGGCATGGGACCAGGAAATGGGCCTCCAAATCCGTCCATTCCAGGTTGCATTCCTGCCCAATATGGATTATAAGGACCCATGGGCATCATATAATTCTCAGCACCCATATCCTGGGATGCTCTCCACTGCATCTCAGCAACTGCAAAGGCATCCAGAGAAAAGGCCAAACGGAGATCATTAGCCTCAAGAGTTGAAAAAAAGGGAATATCAACCTCAAGAATTCACATTATATATCTTAAAAAAGTGTACCGGTTGAAGGCATGCGGGGTTTCTTCTTTTTCTTCTTCTTTCCTGGAAAGCGAACAATAAAGAGATATAGCGGAAATGCATGGGCACGACATGTTTCACAAGTACTATTGCTTCAAAAGTCAACTTCTTTAAAACTATTATCTACATGGATCAAACCATACTCTACTACCCAAAGTTCTAAAAGGTACCACACACTACATGGGTGGTGGTGCAACTTATTCATAATTTACTGCAACTTATTACTCATTTCTCTATTCCTTTATTTAATTTTTAATTTTTTTTTATTTTATTTTTATATTATTAATATTATTAATTAATGAGTTTATATTTTGAGTCATGAAAATAGCTTAAATATCTATTAAATTTTACACTTTTGTTGTTAAATAATAATCAATAAATAATTAATAAGAGCAAATGAAAAATATTAATAAATTAAAAAGATTCATATTTCTAATAGTCTAATACACTTGGAAGTTTTGTTTTTTCTTATAAAAGTAGTAAATAACATTTTAATTGAAATTGAATAAGTAATGATCAAACGATGTATTTGGGCTGCCAAGTCACCCTTCTAACTGACCTAGCCTGTTCTAGGCAGCCTCCCAGCCTTCCTAGGCACCCGCATAGTCCGGGTAACCTTCTAGGCACCCTGGTCGGCTGACCAGTTTATTTTACTGTACTAGGATGAAATTGGAGCGCCCAACCTGGTGCCTAGAAGGACGCCTATCCCGACATTTAGAAAAATATACTACCCTTTAATCAATGTACAAAATTAAAATTTTGGTTAGGTACAACGAACAAAATAAAATTGTTAGATTAACTCAGTTTTGGAAAAAATAAAACAAAGTTAAGCTAACAAATTTATCAAAATTTGAGCACATTATATCAAACATTAGATCAAAGGCGGCTCTTCTTTGGGACAAAACTAGTGTTTAAAACTGGACTTTTTTTAGCGGAGTGTGTGGCATAAGGTACGATTAGATTACAAAAAATTACAGAAGCAACAGCATGCTTTTAACTGGCAGTATATCCAGCATAGAACAATTGATTAACTTACCAGCATCTAAAGCAGCTTGCTTCTGCTGGACTTCTTCATCAACCAGTGGAGCACTTCCTTGAGAAGCTGGTTCTTTCGCACTAATTGACTCATGTGTAGCTTCTGAAACATCAACCACCTTTGAAGTTTTCCCTCTCTCCAACACTTTTAGAACAGTCTCCACCTTTGCTTCTTTTATTGCTTCTTGAGCCTTTGAAGTCTCTTCCTTCTGAAGAGGTGGTGCCAGGAGCATCTTATCTCCTCGCGAAGCAACAGATTGTGAAGGGGACGGAATCCTAGGATAAGGAGTTCGAGCAGACTCCATATCTGAACATGTAAATAATAGTTAATTGATGATTGTTATGCAATAACTCCCTTTTCACTAATGTTTAAAAAAATCAGCACCCAAAAACCAAACCTTGAACTTGAAGAACACTGCCTCCATGTTCACTGCTGTTATTAGATTCCAGAATTCGATTGATGGTGTCTCTTAGAGTCTTATTGGGTAAAAGGTCATCAGCAAGAACATTAGTCGCCCCACAGACACACATCAATTTAGAAATGATGCAATCTCTTATACCTGACGACAAGAATAAAAGCTTAAAACACCATAGGCTGCCGAAATAGCATGTGATTGTAAAGGAGAACAACGTGTCAGAATCTTACATTTGTCACAGAAACTCTTGAAGCAACACTTGCTAGTAAGCACAGCATCTTTCATGACTTCTTTACATAAAGGACAATGAAGTTCCGGAGGAAGCTCGCCTACGGAGCGCGTAGAAGGCATGCCCTCAACTTCTTTATCAAAGGCAGCCCTGCAATGATTTCAAAATAATAACTTAGAACTAGATTCTTAGTCCAGAAAACATACACCAACCTGACCCAACTTACTCATTTGGCTTCATAACAGCACTGGCCCCACTTGGTAAAGCATATGAACCGTCTGGGGTAGTCACTAGCATGGACTTTGGAATACCAGTTGGAGGCTTCACCTTCCGGACGTCAAAATTGGGGTCACCATTTGTTGGACAATGTTGAATAAAATGCCCTACATGAAAAAATTATGAACCATAAACCAAACAGAATATTCTACAACTATTTCTATAAATTAACAGGAGATGACATACCGGGCACCTTGCACCTGTGACATACATAGCCCGGCGGTGGTGTTTTACGCTCAAATCCTCCTCGACCTTCGTAATCATCATCAAACCAAAACAATGTTTGTCAGGATTTATAGCAGAATGAGTAAGCACATATAAAAATAACTTGCGCCAAGTTAAACAGCAAGAAAAACTATGAACAGCCCTCTAGTTATATAGGCAATATCACTCTAACGTGAATGCAATACTTGGATGAAAAAACAAACTAATGAGCCAAGAATACATCATTTTCAACAGGACAATAATATTCGGTAAAACATAGGGAAAAATGTCTGAAAAAATAACAGAAGAAACTGGAGAATGGTGACTCAAAGGAATGATAATGATATACTAGTATGATATAACAAATACTATTTCTAAACCAGAGTTAAACAGACCAGAAAAGAATTTTTGAGTCCAATTAAAAATATCCTTAATCACTTTTTATTGAATTGTTTCCTATTATTTTCCAAATTATGATATAACAACTACACCTCGGTTTTACTATTTTCCTATCACTCAATTTATTCACGTGTGCTTGTCTCATTTTACAAATATATGCTTCTAAATCATTCTTACTTTATTATTACTACTATACCAATTAAATATCAATCAAATAAATTCACTTTTCTTAATAACATCATCACATTCTCATGTTCTAATCTTGAGGGACAGACTTAGTACTTCTTCTCATTTTTACTAATTCACAAGGTCTACCACATCAACATTTAAAGGTGGCGACTCAATAGAACTCATTGTGCAGTTTATGAATTCACATACAAATTAGTACCCCAACTATTTTATTCTTTTTTAAATTTTGTATAACAAAAACGTTAACACATATCTTACCGTATGATGCACAGGTACACACACTAATATGATATAATTTGAAATAAGAAGTAAAGAGAATCACCAAAGCCACGCCCACTCATCATCCTCCCGCCTGGACCACGGCCGTAACCTCTACCAGCACCAAAGCCATCAGTTGGTGTTCTGTGAAGCAAATTTATATGTCAACTAAATGACTCCGTAAAATGTTTTATAAAGGAATTCCCTATGAAACTTAGAGCTAACAAAATAATCAGGATAGTGCAAGAATGCAAGATAATATTAATAATAATAGTAATAATAATAATAATAACAACAACAATAATTATTATAATAATAAATCTTACTGCTGCCAATCTAAGGCAGGTGTGTCGATTAAAGCTTTAATCTTGCTTTCTTCATCAGCTTTACTAGAAGGTGGGGCCTCTTGTACAGGATTGCTCGACTGATATGACATGGTTTCAGGAATTGAGTACAAATCATTGCCAAATTCATCCCAATCCAAATCTTCAGGCTACAGGGATAAAATGAGGTGTCACAATACATTAATATCTGGATGGGGAAAATTCCATAAACTATATGCACATTAAACAAATGTAGAAGCTTACATATTTGCTTGTAAAAGATTCAACTCCCACAAGACCGCTTTTTGCAGGCTCGACCTCCTCATACAAATATTCAGCCTTGGCCCTGCAGCACAGTCAATGATACAAGTTCAATTAGACAATACATATTCATCCAACAGCCAAAAGGAAGCATTCATGATCCTCCCTACTCCCTGTCTTCTTTTTTCCTCAAGAACACTGTGTAAATATGAGCACATAAAAGAATGATAACCATAGAACCATATGAAGGTGGGTTCAATGATTTAATCCTTCAGGGTTTGCAAGCCATTAGCTTAACTTCACCGTCAGCTGGGCCTTAAGGCATATCACACAACCCATGTTCTGATAACCCGAAAACCAGTATTTGAGCAATCTAATACTAGCACAGCGCGCCAGGGCCCAAGGCACTTATTAAGGGGTTTATCTACCAACTAATTGTTGTATGAATGTAATCGTTTTAAGTTCATTAATGAGCCGTCTTCAAGTATTCTTATGAAGTTGGAAAGTGAGAGGGATCTTTTATCACTAAACTTAAGATAAACAAACAATGTTCAGAGGGTTGAGATTATACTCTTCTAGTTCAGTAACTGGTGCAGTAACTATGGGCTGGCGAGGTTGTCCAGGAACTCGACGTATTAAAACACTAGTATTTTTTGGAATCAATGCAGCTTCATCAAGATATTCTGTAATCACAAAACAGAGAGGACATGTAAAACATCGAATGTCACAGGATGTTCATCTAGAAATGCAAAGGACTAAAATTAGCCACCGATGGCAGGGTATATCATCATAACACCATTAACTTGATTTATGCCGCACCCTGTGGATGGAAAGAGTTGCTGTTAATTAGAACCATATTGATGTTCACCTTGACCTAGGACAGTCAGCTTCTTTAAAACAACACATATGTTCCCTGGGGAAGGTTCACTACAAGAACGCTTCAACAAAAGGTCTAAAAGAGAGATAACTTTTCATAAATGGTGTACTCAGATGACTAAAACAAAATAATGGGGGAAAAGGAACACCATGTTCACAAAGTGCAAGAAGGGTTTTCCCCATGGTACGAGTATGTATTTAAGAGCTAAGGGCAAGACAAGGACACAATTTCACCATGTACAATTTTTTCTTGACTTGGCATAATGGAATTGAACTTCTTTTGATCAATTCATTTCAGAGAAAAATGACAATTTAGCATGAAAAGAACTCGAGACACAGGACAATAATCTCAAAAAAACAATAGAAGGCTACAGCAAAGAATCAAACCAAAAGCAAGTGTTCACTTATCTCACAAATCACAGAGGACTACATTAATGACCAACCCTGACTAAATCATTGCCCAAGTGTATGTATACCGAGAAGTATATATGTATGTTATAATAGTGCACAAGAGATCAAGCCATATAATGCTTTATTCAACTTCAGCTTGTGAAAAAATTCAGTGTGATGCCTTTCTAGAAATAAATAACTAGTATTTCTTCAATGAATATCGGAAGTACTGAGTAGTCAATGAAAACTAACCAACCTTCATTAGTCTGGGCGTTGGTGACAACGAGGTCAAAATCTGTACCCCTGCCCAAATGCTTGGATTCGAATATTTTTTCTTTCAAATTCAGAACAGAAATAAAGTGTCCGTCAATTGGAATTGAATCAAACTCTTTTGCACTTTTAAACTTAAAATACACCGCCATGATTGGTTTTCGTAAAATTCTTCTTTCACCTCAGAGTCAACAACAGAAATAAAAAAAGGCCTTCAAATAATGAATTATATAGGCCTTATATTGAACTGAACCTAAGATTGATAACAAGTACAAAAGTTCTAAAAACTATTCTCTTTTTTCTTTCAATGGCTGAAGAAGATCAATCAGACCAAACTCGAACAGCCTGTGTCGGCAAAGTCCTCCAGAGCCTATTCTGACTCGTCAACATGTCCAACAAAAGAAGTAACTAGGATTTCTACGGTTGATCAGACCAGAGTTGTCTTGAAGCTCGTTGCATAAGGGAGGCTGGATGATGAAATCAAAGCACGAGATCTTCCGGAACCGCAGAAGAAGGCCGGATTACGTCACCTCCTTGATTAAACAACAGGGTCACAATAGCCGGTTTGCTGAAGAGACGATCTTTTGCCGACTGTGGAACACTGCAGTCTTCACGAACCCGATGGTACGCAGGAGAAAGCCGGATCTCTACGAACCCCAACGCGCGCGCTACTTCACAGGTGCTATATTATGTCCCTTGAAGCCGGAATTCGCCACGGAAACGAACGACTGACCGAACAAACCCGATCAATTAGGGTGGTGGTGCATAAAGAATTCTTGAACAAAACACAACCGAGATAGGGTTAGGGTTAAAAGCTTCAATTGATTGGATGAGAATCGAAAAGGGGAAGAGGAGCCTTCGACTTGTACTGTTTATTTGTGGATGGATATGAATAAGCAAGCTGTAATATGCCGCTCAATATTGGGCTTCAATATGGGCCTTCGCCATATTTCGTTTTCACTTGAAAAATCTCATCAAAAAAATAAAATAAAAATTCCATAGTAGACCTTCCACAATTAAAAAATTCTGCTAGTGTGCCATTCATTGGCCCTGTTTGGTACTCAGCGGTTAGCGGTTAGCGGATTTGGTTAGCGGGTAGTAAATGGTGGATTGAATCAGAGAATTTGACCAGCGGATTAGCTTGACGGATTGCAGAAAGGTGTTTGGTAACTTAGTTGTTTGCTTGTAGCGTGATGGATAGTCTACCCGGGGGTATATATCCGAAGGGTTATTACGGGGAATAACTTAGAGAGAAGTCAGAGCAAACAAGTAAGAGAGAGAGTGTATATTCGATATGAATTCAGCGTGTTATGACTTTTCAGCGTGGTTACAAATGAGGAAAAGGGGTGCTATTTATAGCAGCAATAAATGCCGGGCAGGGACACGTGTCAAGCGCTCATTGGCCGAGGGGTCACCTCAACTGGTTGGCGCTGGCACCCGCATGTGGCCGCATTTAATGCGGCTGTTGGATGGGACGTCTGTGCAGAGTACGGTGATCTGTACGCATGTGAGGCGGATATCTTGTCGAGTGAGATGCCTTCGGTCATAGAGCAGTAGCCGAAGGCTCCTCCAACCGAGGGCACCTTGGTGCCGAGGGCTTACAGTACCGAGGGCTACTGTTTTCGCCGTTTTCTCCCAGTTTCTTAGTTTGCTTGAGGAACCCGTTCTGTGAGAATTTTAGAGCCTTCGACCGGGGGGCCGAAGGCACCCCTGGCGCGTAGTGCGAGCTGCTTGGTACTCTGGGCGCTGTGATTTGGGCCTGTTGGGCCTTTTGGGCCTGTTGGGCCTTTCCTGGAGTAGTAGGAGTCTGTGGGCCGGAGGTTCCCGGGCCATATACTCCATCATAGCGGATAATATGTAAAAAGACAAAAAAGGACATTTTAAAAAGTTTGCATGTTTTTTTTGTTTTGTTTAATACGAAGTTATGACTTTACTAATTTATAAACACATAATATATGGGAGTAAATTATTTTAAAATTAACTAGATAAAAGTATGACAATGAAATGCATCAATTAACTACACCAATATTGAGAAGTAATACAATTCTTAAAAAAATAATACGGTGAATTGCAATATTTGTAATATTAAGAATAAAATCCTTATGACATCAAACTAGAAGCAATGCTATCACGAATGATCGCCATCTGATGATTTCTCATTCCATCATCAACTTGTGTAGTACTAGCTTGAACATCTGGAATAACGTCAGGGGGTATAAATTCAGGATCTTCATCAATGAAATCAAAAGCCGGATCAAGTTTGCTTTTTCTTATGTAGTTGTGTAATGCAAAACATGAACATATAATTCTGTTTTGATCCACCAATGAATAATTTGGCATTTTTTGTAATATCTTCCAGCGAGCCTTAAGAACACCAAACGCTCTCTCAATACAACTTCTTAAGGATGAATGTGCTCGATTAAATACTTCTCGTGAACCTCTTGGTCTTGATCCACAAAACTCTGATTGATGGTATCATGTCTTAGGGTACGGAGTCAAGTATCCATATCTTTCTGGATAGCCTTTGTCAACCAAGTAATACTTCCCTAAGAAAATAAAAGCAACAAGTATAGTTACAATTAAAATTGTAAATTAAATGATATATGGTATGTAAGAAAAAATAAATTTTAGTGACCTACCAGGAGGTGGCTTTGGAAAATTAAGGCTTGAATTGTTCACTGTGTCTAAGAATATGCGTGAATCATGTGTTGATCCCTCCCATCCTGTTAGAACATATGTGAATAGCAAATCAAAATCACAAACTGCTAGAACATTCGTGGTTGGTATTCCCTTTCTTCCTCGATAGCGCATTTGATCTTCCTCAGGTACGGTTATTACAATGTGTGTACCATCAATAGCTCCAATACAATCCTAATATAATAACTCAATAAACATGATTATATTAATATTCTCACTTCATAATATTTCATCATGTTTAATCAATTATGCATTTACCTTAAAATGTGGCATATATCTATCATCATTGTCAATTTGTGAGGGAATTCGTTTGAAGTCGGGGTCCTTTGGAACGAGTATGTCACGACAAAGTCCATCCATGGCATTCAAAACTTCTTTGAAAATTCTACTCACAGTTTCACCAGAATGTTGAAAACGTTCTTGGGTATCTCTATTGGAAGCACTCTTACTTAGTACATAAACGAACAAACCCACTTTCTCCAAAATTGAAACCCTACTTGAAGGCCTTAAACCGTATTTGGTCTCTAAATCCGCACATAAATTGCGAAATGTATTTTGGGTCATTCTAAATGCATTAAAACATCGTTTTTCATGGCCATTTAATACCTCATTCATCCATCTTTCTCCAGTCAAATAAGACGTCATGCACGGTTCCTTGTATATGTTTTTAAAATAGTAGTCACACATATATGCTGCCATAGAAGTCATCATGTCCAGATCTTCACTCTCTATTTCAAAGTATTGTTGGCATAAGATATATTGTTGCTGAAATAGGAGAAGGAATTGTCTACTTCGCATGTCGTAATTAGCCATGAACACCTACAATCAAATATGTATAATATAAAGGTAAACATTTAAAATTAAAGTTATAATTGATAACAACATTGAACCGAATGGTTTAGATCACATAACAAAAAGAAGTTCACAAGAAGTTTTAAATGTCCAACTTAAGAAGTTTTAAATGTCTAAACGTCTAAATAATCGCACTTTTCTTATGCTCAATATACATGAACCGAATATAGGCAACTCGACTATCATCATGCGGTAAGTTGAACAAAATAGTCCTCTTTTGGGGATCCTCCAAAAGTGAGCAAGCAAATAAAAACTCAGGAGCAAGTGGATCAAGATCGGGTAAACAACACAACTTTACCATAGCATCTTCAATACTATACTTTGACGTATGAGCATCCATTGAATTTAGAACACTCATATTCGCGTTAGTCATGTTCTTCACTGAAGTAGCAACTTCCTCAACAACTTTATTTCTCGCTTCAAATTTTTGCATCATACCACTAAACATTTCTTGAAAAGTTGAAGCCGCGCCTTTTTTGCTTTTGCATTCTTAGTGTTTTGAGACGAGTCGCCCTCCAAAACTCTCTTACCTTTTTTTGTGATGTCCCTTTCTATATAAGTATCATCATGGGGAGCTACATGAGCAGAGGTAGGGCTAGGGCTAAGATCTCTCCACATATCATTCCAAGACTCATTTCTCGCAGAGTTATTATCACCGTAGTAGTTCTCATGCATCTCATCAACGCTAACATGGGGAATATGGGTATTAGGTGGAGACAGAACAGACATGTCACAAACTCCATCTTGCAAAGTTTGTTGTGGCATATTACATACTGGGGTGTACTTAAGATTCCCATTCGCATAACTCCCAAATATTTGTTCGAATTTACATTCAAGCTCTGGCTCAATTCCTTCTTTTCTAAATTGTTCCAACTTTTGATTTTCCTATAATAAAAATATATAAAATTTTAAAATTACCTCACTTTAAGTATATGAACTAAATAAACTAAAAAATATAAATTAAAATAAAATGACACTAACCTCAATTCTTAATGCCCACCATTCATCAGTAGCCTCAATAGTTCCCTTTAAATGATCCCACCCTAATCCGGTAGCTTTGGACTTCAATTGCTTCCATAAAGTCCATCTATCTCTCATCCAATCAATCTTATTTTTGAGTTTGTTTTTATCCCATGGTAGGTTAGTTTTTCTCTTAAACTCCATTTCAATTTTTTCCCACATCAACCTTTGTGAAACAATTCCACCATTTTTCCCCTTACTTATGTCTACATATTGAATACAAAGATCACAAAACAAATGAAGTAATTCTTTAGTCCAATTAACCCTCCCACCATGACTTTCATCCTTCTCCATTTGAGTTCCTCGACTTCCTTCTACAATTTTCTTCTGCGTTAGGGTCATCTATAGATTAAAAATGGTAAAGATATTTTTAGCATGCTTAAAGCTTTATGTTTAACCAAAACTTCTACATAATCACTAAAACATTTGCAAAGTTATACTACAAAATCTGCATATGTATTCAATAGTAAAAGATAAATTGGACTGAAAAACTAATAGTTTAATACAATATTATTATTAAAATATTATTTCAAAACAAAATAGTTTAAATAATAATACATAAGATACCCTATTATATTGATCATGATCGCATATTTAAGTGGAAACTACTCAGAAATTTAAATGAAGACTGGGTGAATACAAAGTTTTTAGTTCAGTTTTTAGACCGGGTGTATATGTATATACAGAGTATATACATATATAAACACAAAGATCATTAGTGTCCTCCACTTCTTTTTTACCCCAATTGATAGTTTCAAAAATCCAGTGGCTGGTGTTCATCATTCTGGTTCTAGACCTCTTTTTAACAGACTCCTAGTTTCAAACTGTTACGCTATGTATGTTTTTATTTGTTGGTTGCTCAGTTTATATATAATTCATACAGAGTATTTACTTAGAGCGTCTGATGTTTAGGGGCAGATATATCTTTATAGCATATGATGTTTAAGGGCAGATTGTTTGTTATGCTGAAAAATTTTGTTTTGTTTCTCCTTCTTATCTTTATTAAGCTTGTTCTATAATTTATTGGTCAGAGATTTGGGAACTATGTACATATAAAGAGTATAAGACCTGTTCTATACTGGTTGTTGTTATTTGTATTAAGTAGATGTAATACACTTTTCCAAGAGGGAAGATGTTCACAACGAATATGAATATATGATACAATATTTAGAAGAGCAAACACATACAATTATTCCAAAATACTGATCGTTTGTAATCCTTGAAAAAGTATAAACATGCACTCCAGAGAATTACATATCTATGAATTCACAAATAGCAATACTCATGGAAATCAAAGTAAGATCCCAAAGGACTGTTCTAGAGGAGAGGTGAAACG